CAGATTAAGAGTTTAAAATTATTATTAATAAATATTATTTTTTTTGAAAGTTACTTTCTCGAATTATTACTTGATATAAGTGAAATTAGTTATTTACAATATTATGTAAAAATATTAAATTATTATTAATTTCAATATTATGTTATAATTATTTTTGTACTTTTTAGAATTTTTTTAAATTTATTACATAATTTCTTTATTTTAACTATTTAAAATCTAGTTATGTTAAATATTTTGTTATTCAAAATACCCATTTATTTAAATACTTAAATAATATGTAAAATATATAGATTTTACAATATTTGTTATTTATGGAATTTAATTATCCATGAAATCATAATTTATACTATTATTACATAATTTCATTATTAATTTTGTAATATATTAAATTATTATTAATTTCAATATTATGTTATGGTTAATTTTTACTTCAAAGAAAATTTTTAAATTTATTACATAATTTCGTTATTTTAAATATTTAAAATCTAGTTATGATAAATATGTAGTTACTTAAATATTTAAATAGTCTATAAAATATTTTAAAAATTTTGTTATTTGAATTTTATTTATTTATAGCTATTACATATTATTAAATGTTTGAAAAACATTTAAATTGATGATCCAAGAAAAACATAATTTAAATTGTTAGTACATAATTTCATGATATGTTTTGTAAAATATAAAATTATTTATTATATAATTTCGTTATTTTAATTATTTAAAATATAGTTATGATAAACTTTTAGTTATTTAAATATCTAAATAATATCTAAAATATGTATTTTCTTTATTTGAATTTTATTTATTTAAAGCTATTATATATTATTAAATAATTGAAAAGCATTTAAATTGATAATCCAGAAAAACATAATTTAAATTGTTAGTACATAATTTCGTGATATGTTTTGTAAAAACATAAAATTATTTTATGTGTTTTTTATAAATATTTTAAAGTTATTATATAATTTTGTTAGAATATTTAAATAGTTCTTAAATTTTTTAATCCAAACTTTCTTTAGATAGATATAGATAAAAATTAGGAGAGAGGATAAATAGGAATTAGATATAATTTAGAAGATAAATAGGAATTAGAGATAATTCTGGAGAAAGTGGGGGAGGTAGTTTAGGATAAATTTTAGGAGAAGAGATTATTTAGGTTATTGGGAAAGTACATCTCATTGGTTGTTTCAAAAATGACATGCAATAAAAAAACAAAAAATTCAAAAAAAGGAGAAAATTTTTGACAACTTTTTTTTAATATATATATATATATATATTTTTTTTTAAATTTATTTTTTAACAATTGCACTATAATTTTTAAAATTAAAATTTAATTTTTAAGTTTAAATATTTTAAACCAACTTACCAAAGCAAAAAATCGACCCAAATCGATACAACTTGAGTGGGTCGGTTTTCACAAATGGTCAGTTAGTTTTAGCTTTACCAATTCCCCATCCTAACCAATTTAATTTGGCTGGCCAAACAACCTACAATTGAACTGAACCATCTCATGAAAACTCATAATTTTAGCTAAATTAATAGGCTCATCTCTGATAAATAACAATAGTTTAATCTCCAATAATTATTAAAAATTTATAGCAAAAATACACAATAATTGAAAATATATTTATAATGAAAAATACAATAATTACAAAAATACAATAAGTACTAAAAATATATTAAAATAGTCAATAAATAGTATAATCTCAAATAATAGTTTGATCTCTAATAAATATTAATCAATAAGTTATAACAAAATACAATAAGTACAATATAAAAATTTCAATAATAGTAGTTTAATCTCAAATAACTATTGAAAGTTTTCTGTTAAATAACAAAAAAAATAAATTTATACATAATTATTGAAAATACATTTATCACAAAAACAATAAATAATTCTTGAAATTTCTTGAATTATAAATTGATATAAGTGAAATTAGTTATTTACAATATTATGTAAAAATATTAAATTATTACTAAAGTTATTTCATTATTAATTTTGTAAAATATTAAATTATTATTATTTTCAATATTATGATTTAATTATTTTTCTACTTTTCAGATTTTTTTTTTCAAATTTATTACATAACTTCTTTATTTTAACTAATTTAAAATCTAGTTATGTTAAATATTTTTTTATTTAAAATATTTAGTTTTTTCATATTAAATAATATGTAAAATATTTAAATTTTAAAATATTAGTTATTTATTAATTTAATAATCCATAAAATTATAATTTGTACTATTTTTAAATAATTTCATTATTAAATTTTTATGATATTAAATTATTATTAATTTCAATATTATGTTATAATTATTTTTCTATATTTAATAAATTTTTAAAATTTGTTAGATAATTTCATTATTTTAACTATTTAAAATATAGTTATGTTAAATATTTAGTTATTTAAATATTTAAATAATATATAGAATTTTTAAATTTTTGTTATTTACTGATTTTAGTAATCCATAAAATTATAATTCATACTATTATTACATAATTTCACTATTAATTTTTTAAGATATTAAATTATTATTAATTTTAAAATTATTTTATACTTATTATTATTACATTATTTTATACTTATTATTTAAAATCTAGTTATGTTATATAAACAATATGTAAAATATTTAAAATTTTTTTGCTATTTGAATTTTATTTATTTAAATCTATTACATATTACTACATATTTTGTTATATAATTATTTATATATTTATAATATTTTTTAAAATATTTATTTCTTAAATTATTAAAATAAGATTTTATTTTTTAATGTTATATTTTTATTATTTGAATAACATTTAAATTGTTGATCTGGAAAAACAGAATTTAAATTTTTAGTAATTCTTAAAGCTTTTTAATCCAAACTTTCTTTAGATATAGATAAAAAAGTGGGGGAGAGGATTAATAGGAATTAGATATCATTTATATATTTATAATTTTGAAAATATATTTATCACAAAAAAAATAATAAATAATTACTAAAATACAATAAATATTAATTTTAGTATATATAATTATATAATAAATACAGATTAAGAGTTTAAAATCATTATTAATAAATATTAATTTTTTTGAAGGTTATTTTGTCGAATTATTAATTGATATAAGTGAAATTAGTTGTTTACAATATTATGTAAAAATATTAAATTATTATTAACTTCAATATTATGTTATAATTATTTTTCTAATTTTCAGAATTTTTTTAAATTTATTACATAATTTCTTTATTTTAACTATTTAAAATCTAGTTATGTTAAATATTTTGTTATTTAAATACTTAAATAATGTTGAAAATATTAATTATTTATTGAATTTAATTATCCATAAAATCATAATTTATACTATTATTACATAATTTTATTATTAATTTTGTAATATCTTAAATTATTATTAATAATTTCATTATTTTAACTATTTAAATTCCATTTATGATAATTATTTAAATAATCTATAAAATATTTAATTTTTTTTGTTATTTGAATTCTATTTATTTAAAGCTATTACATATTATTAAATATTTGAAAAGCATTTAAATTGATAATTCGGAAAAACATAATTTAAATTTTTAGTACATAATTTCGTGATATATTTTGTAAAAATATAAAATTGTTTTTTGTGTTTTTAATAAATATTTTAAAGTTATTATTTAATTTTGTTAGAATATTTAAATAATTATTAAATTTTTTATCCAAAATTTATTTAGATAGATATAGATAAAAARTAGGGGAGAGGATAAATAGGAATTAGAGATAATTTAGGAGAGAAACTCTCTACTAAATTAGAGATAATTTTGGAGATAAATAGGAATTAGAGATAATTTAGAAGATAAATAGGAGTTAGAGATAATTTTGGAGAAAGTGGGGGAGGTAGTTTAGGAGAAATTTTAGGAGAAGAGATTATTTAGGTTATGGGAAAGTGACATCTTATTGGTTGTTTAAAAAATGACATGAAATAAAAAATAAAAAATTCAAAAAAAGGAGAAATGTTCTTGACTGCTTTGTTTTAATATATATATTTTTTATCCAAACTTTCTTTAGATAGATATAGATAAAAAGTAGGGGAGAGGATAAATAGGAATTAGAGATAATTTAGGAGAGAAACTCTCTACTAAATTAGAGATAATTTTGGAGATAAATAGGAATTAGAGATAATTTAGAAGATAAATAGGAGTTAGAGATAATTTTGGAGAAAGTGGGGGAGGTAGTTTAGGAAAAATTTTAGCAGAAGAGATTATTTAGGTTATGGGAAAGTGCATCTCATTGGTTGTTTTAAAAATGACATGGAATAAAATAAAATAAAATTCAAAAAAAGGAGAAATTTTCTTGACTACTTTGTTATATATATATATATATATATTACAATTATTTTTATGCTTTTAATAAATATTTGAAACTTATTACATAATTTTGTTATAATATTTAAATATTTTTAAAGTTTTTAATTCAATATTTCTTTAGATAAATATAGATGAGAAAGTGGGGGAAAGGATAAATAAGAATTAGAGATAGGATAAAATAAAACAAAAATTAAAAGAAAAAAGAGAAAAAAATGGACTTCCTTCTTTTACTATATAGATATTTCTCCAAAAGGTTTAACCCTTTTTTGGGTTTGTAGGCCTGTGAGTTATTACTTCAAGGAGGACAAGCTGGTAAGTTTTTCCTTTGATTTTTCATGTTTAACTTCTCGTCTGTGTTTTTTTTTTTTTCGAATGAACCAAACGTGAATGCTGCTTTGAACATTCTTTTGCAAATCGTAGAAAGATTTGGTGAAGGGTTTAGTTTATTTATTCCTAAAGATTTGATCAAAATCAGCAAACTAGGTAGATAAATCTCATGCATTTAATACTGGAAACCTTCGTAATGTATTAACAAAAAGAAAGTTTATATATCACGCATCGTGCATATCTTATTACTATTTTCAGACTATGGAATGGAGAGTTTAGATTATGAATCGTGCATATCTTATTGTTGCAACAGTTTTCCATGATGATGATGATGTTAAATTTGATGAATAAATAACGATATATAATGAGTTTTTTTAGAGCAAAATTTGTTAGATGAGCAAGCTAGCAAAGTATTAACAAGCGACTCTAAGCTGATTCTGTCATCTGGGTTTGCTATTGGTTTATGTCTCATTAGTTCAGAAAAGGACTTAGAGTTGAAAGCGGCCGGTCTCTATAATCAATTCTCTTTAGTTGATTCATCTTTAGATTGTGTTTTTTTTTTTTTTTTGATAATCCATTTTCTCAGTATTTGATTTTCCTTGTTGTCTCATTTCATTGTAGTTGTCCCTTTACTGTGTTTCTTTGGTTGTAAAGTTGCAGATGTATATCCTTCCGAGGATCAAGTCAAGATCTGGTCTCTCTTAGAATGAATACATTAATCTGAACTATGAGAGTTGGATTCTGGGGCAGCTGGGACGCCTGGGACGCGGACGGTATTCCTGCATACCTCCACAAGCTAGTTCTTGCTGGATCTTGCCTTGAAGAGAACCCAGTATTCGACCAAAGTAAGGTTGAAGAGGACTCCAGTATGCAGATATTTGTCAAGCTAACATCAACCAGTAGAACTCTTACTTTTAGCGTAAAGAGTTCTGATACAGTTGGGAACATCAAGTCTATGATTCAATACAAGGAGGGGATAGAACCAGACCGACAGATGATCATCTTCGCTGGGAGACTTCTCCAGGATCATAAGACCCTGAACCATTACAGTATTGAGAAGGATTCCATCCTTCATCTGGTTCTCCGCAGATCAGAGCTGGCAGGTATGCAGATATATGTTGACATGCCTAATGAAGAAAGTTACACTCTTGATGTGATGGTTTCGTCCACCGTCGCAGACATCAAAGCCCTGTTAGAGAGTGTGCTGGGTGTTCCATCATGCCAACAGAAGCTCACTTGTGCTGGAGAGATTCTTGAGGATTGCCAGACCATGGTGGGTTGCAAGGTTGCACTGCAGTCTAAACTTGGTGAAAAGATCCAACTGGAAGATCAGCYCATTCAACTGTACCTCACAGAGATGCCCAGTAAAATTGAGAGGATGACATCTTTTGTAATGCAAGAGAAGCCCACAATCACTGAGAACTTACAGGTCAAAGGAGTGGAAATGCAGATTGTAGTGAGAAGCTTCATTGGAAGTTATGTTCTCAATGTGCTGGCATCGAGTACCATTGAATGTGTCAAGACAGTGATCCAAAGTGTGATAGGAATCCCACAGAAGAAACAGATTCTTTATTATGGTAAATGTAAACTTGAAGATGCTCAAACTCTAGCTGATTATGGCATCAAGGATCAGTCTGAGCTTTTGATGTTAGGTCCATTCCTGAAATTATTCATCAAGATGCCACAGGCAAAAAGTACCATCAGGATCCACGCCTGTAATTTTGAGAAGGTCCATGATATCAAAAGCATAGTTTGGGAGAGAACAGGGATCCCACAAGACAGACATACCTTGGTCTACGCTGGAAGATCACTTGATGATGAAGAGACACTTTCAACTTATGGCATCCAAAACGGTTCTACACTTTATGGGTTCTTTGGTTTAGAAGATGGAAGTCAAGAATTCAAGTTATTTTTCAACAAGAATGCAGCAGACGAGACCTATGAAGTCAGAGTGAAATCATGGTACAGTATCTTGGATGTCAAGACCATCATAGAGAGCATGGTGGGAATCCCTATAGACCTGCAAGAGCTTACATATAACCAAGAGAAACTCAGGGATTGCAGGAAGTTGGCTGATTACAATATCAAGCATGGATGTAATATTTCTCTGTTGGTTTCTAGTTCTCCGGTGCAGTTGTTCATAAAAAGTGGGGAGGAATACTTCATGCTTGAAGTGAAAAACTCTGAGACAATAAATGAAATCATGACCAATATTCTAGTGAAAACAGACAGTACTGGTAAGCTCAATCTTTTCATTGGAGAAACTAAGCTTGAGGAGGATCGGACCTTAGCCCACTATGACATACAATCCTCTGCCTTCCTCCAACTGGAGCGCGCAATTCAAGTGAATGTGACCAGTCCGAGCGGTGAAGTGATTACAGTTGATCTAAAGGCAACCGATGATATTGATGGGGTGAAGGACAAAATTGAGGATATGTGTGGGATTCCATGGGAGATACAGACCATTACTTACCTCGAAGATGAACTTGATGGTCTTTATACGCTGGAAGATTATGAATTTCATTTGGGTGGTCTTTGGGGTTTAAGGTGGTTGTTTGGTGGTACTGCGTGGTCCTTCTTTTGGCCTTCCTATGCGGCAGTTTGAGGCTGAACGAGTGTTACACAAACTCCATTTGTTAGTTTTGGTTTTTTGGCTTGTTTTGAATGTTAATTAGTTTAGTACTTTTCCACTTTTAGTTCGTATGATCAGTTATTAATTTTAGAGAATTACAATTGATGAACATTATTTAGTTTTCCTTTTTTATTTGATCACTTGTACATTTATTATGGTGCTTTTAAACTAATGGGTGTTGATTTAGGCACATAACATTACTGATAAAAAGGTTCTCTCTCTTTTTAGTTTTAACTTTCTATTGTTATAAACATAAGGGTATATCGTATATTTTTGTTTTTCACAGGAATTTATCAAAAATGGGTTATACCCAGTTACCCACAACTTTCCTTCAGTCCTTTGTAAGAGTTTAAATTTCATTGTCGAGACATGAGAATAACCACAAATCTGAGAAAAGAAAAAAAAAAAAAAATTCTTTGTGATAACTAGCTAGGTAGTAAATTTTCAAATTTCAACACCTATAAGATGGAATTAGACCACCACAACACTTATAATGGCTATTGATTAACAGAGGATATGTTCACCAGATCTCTAGGGACTCGTTCATTTCTTGGGATTTGGCCATACGTCATTGGTCTGGTCATTAGCGACGGATATTGATATTTGATAATGTCTTCCATGTTGCACCTGCGACTTTGCCATTGCACAACTCACAAAAATAGGATGTTACCCACACCAATCTCCTTTTGTAAAAAATTCAAGTTCTATTATCGAGACTTTAGAATAACTACAACTCTGAAATAGTAAAAAAAAAGGGTTCTTTGCGTGGTGGAAGTAGTAATTTTTCAAAACCTATAGAGTGTAGACCCACCATCACCCATTACTTGCAGGGATATGTCCCCCATATCTCTAGGGACTGCTCCTGGTAATACTTTATTCTCTTTCAGATTGCACGGTTGCATCTTACCCAAGATGCCACTTACCACAGCCATTCACATTCATTAAGTAGTGAAAAGTACTTTTCACTATTGCTTGCAACTTACAAGATGCTGTTGCTTCATCATTATTGCTTGCAACTTAGAAGTACTCTGTAATCAGCTGGGACTATTTCAGACCTCTATAAATACCCATTAGAGAATAATGGCAAGTACTTTGTAAGAGGAAGTTAAAAGAAACAATTCCAAATTACCATTACTTCATTCAGATAGTCTAGATTTCTTCTATATTTGCAGATGGAGCAAGTGGCGTAGTATTAAAACAAATCATGTTTAGAGAAGTTTCAAATAAAAGAACAAAAGTCAAAATAAACAGGAAGAAAAATTTTTTACTGAATAATTAAGAGAAAATCAATCCAAAACTCTCCTAGCTTACTCATTATATAGACTTACACCCTTATGCCTCCTACAAAGAAGTTTCATAATCTAATAAAACACTCATTATAATCCTAATAAATCTCTTCAAAAAAGAAAGTCCTAATTGAACAATTGAATATAAATTCAGAAATATTGTTGTAATGCTTAGCTTAGTAAATATGAACTAAGATAAAAATCCTGCAATGGTGCTAAGTTGGTAAAAATGAATTAAGATAGAAATTTCATGATGATGTTATTTTGATAATTTTACTAAGTTGGRTTGGTGTCATCATCTCTGCTTTTTGCATGTCTTGTAATGGTCCTAACTTACATAGAACTTATTAGTTTCCTTCTGTACTGTATCATTCTCCCCCTTTAAGATGGGTATTCAAAAACCAACTTTGTAAATGCTTATTCAGTTTGTCCAAATCCCGTACAAGCCATCAAGATTATTAAAGTTTTCACCCTGGAACTAGATAGTTTGAACACACTGCCGAGGGCACCAAAGCTAAGATTGGTTACAAGGAAGGAATTCCCACAGACCAGTATGAGCTTTATGATGGGCATCATCTTGACGCAGCCAGTGGTACGACTATACAAGATTGCAACATGGAAGAGGGATCCACGGTTTTCCTCATGACATATCCGGTGGAAATCTTCGTTGAAATGGAGGACGGATGATGGGCAACGCATATCGATGCAAGTTGAGAGCTACAATACTGTATACAGTGTTAAGGTAAAGATACAGGAGATGTATGGTGTCCTCCAAAGCGCCAGAAGCTCAACTTTGGAGGGAAGGAGCTTGAAAATAACATGGCTCTTTTGTTTTATGGCATCCACAAGGATTGCACCCTTAGCCTTACCATTTGATCTCAGTGGAGATGTGTGATAGTAGGCTTAGTAGCTTGATTCCATTATTTTTAAGTTATTCTGGGTTAGGTGCAAAAATCAGCATAAAGAAATTCAATTTTCTTATTTTGAGGAACAATATATATGCTAGTAAACATTAAATTAGTAAATTAAAGAAACACTGTTGACATATTACATAGCCTTCGCTTCAAGTAGGCCTTTTCCTTATTTCTTTTGTTATTGGTAGGCAACACTGTAGAGGGCTCAAAAGCTTGACAATTATGCCTTCATCCAATGTATGCACATATTTCTGATAAACTGCTCATTTTCACAACATTCTAAGCTTTCAGAGGAGTCTTAATCTTTGAAGAGTAATATAAATGCTTAGCAGGAAGAAGATGCACGAATATCTGTCATGAGGAAATGGAACTGTTGTCTCAGGTGCAGTACCTGCCATGACCATGTGTTATTAACAATCTGTGAATTACTGAAAACTATTTGCTAGGACATAATCTTTTCAAGTTCATTAATGTAGAAAATGAAGATAACTTTCTGAAGATGCATCATCGGATGATATAGATATTGAAGCATAGATATTATTTTGCATTGATGCATTGGGCATTCACTTGTTGAGAAAAGAATGGTGACAATTGGCAACCCAGGAATGGAGGGCTGACAAGAAAGAGCAAGGTTTAGCTGAATTTATTACTGGCGTGGAACCTCATAATTGGTTCCACAGCCCGCTGAACAGCTAAAGCGTTCAGCTAATCCGAATTCGACAAGAAAATGCTATCTTAAAGATAATTGCTTCTCTGGGCAACTTATTATTAATATGGAGCAAAATAATGCATGGCAAATATCCTCAAGGTACAATTTCAGGTAAAGTTCTAGTATGAACATCTTAGAGGACAGAAAGCATAATGAAAGAGAATAAAGACATGGCCATTAGGGAAGAGCAGTGCTGCAAACAATCAGTTTGAATTAGGATAGGGGTAATATCCAAATTAGATACAGAAAGAATCCAGGATAAATCCAATTAAGATATGTGTCTGAATATAATCAGAGTGGGTTGGATCAAGCAATATCTGAATTTCATACGATTAGTAATAATAATAAGCAGATTCCATTTTCAGATATGACCCAATCCAATTATGGTTAAATGGATATCCAAATCCAACTTAAATGAACCAGATACAAATTTGAATTGGATTAAATCTGATCCACTTGCAGCCCCAGGGAGAAATATTGGATGCACAGAAGGTAGTATCAAGAAAGATCTTCATGTTGAACTTTTCAGAGTTGCAATGATTTTTTCCCTTGTTTTGGTGGGGTAAATTGGTGGTGGTGATTAAGGGGACTGGCATCTCATAACAGAGAGAGAGAGAGAGAGAGAGAGAGAGAGAGAGTAAGCTACCTCTTCTTGGAGTAAAGGGGGCAAATTTTCAGCTGATACAAGGCTACATATTTCTTTCTGCAGCTTCTCATCTCTGATGCCAGACCATGTATTTTGAGGTAAGGCCAATAATAGTGCTGTTAATACATCATTGCTCCCTGGGTGCATTGCAATGCTTTTACATGGCCCAAAATTAGAGCAATTCCTAAGTGTTGTTTGAGATGAAGGGACCAGCATATCAATCCCTTGCTTGCTGTTACCAGTAACAACTGACCCTGAGACAACTGTAGCAGGCAGGTCACCTGTAACTGTCAAGCATTTAACACATGTTTCTCTACAGCAAAACTCATCTAAGGTGCTGGCCTTCCCAGCCAGAAGCTCTGCTCCTTGGCAACAAACATCTGCTGCTATTTCAGGCAGAGTATCTTTGTGACTTGATGGTAAGATAGAACTTGTAGACAACAAATCTGCGACATGTTTATATAGTTGAGTCTCTTGTACCTGCTTCAATATTTCTTCCTGAAAGACAATAAAAAGAAAAAAGATGGAACTTCAAGATATATAGTCCAGTCCGATAAACTCCATATGTAAATTCATGGATCAACATTGAAACAAGAAATGTGATTAAAAATGATGTACAACCTTGAGAGAAAGCCTCCCATTCTCCTCTTCACTTAAACTTGAACACCCATCCTCTTGTCTCCGAACTTCTGCAACCCACTTGATGAACTCCCTAAAGTTGATTGGAAGTGACTTAAACACAACAGAGAGTACTTTCTGGACATCTTTTATATCCTCTGACTTTAAAAGAAGAGGAACATCATCTATCAAATACTTTGCAGCACTAACCCAACTCTCGTGTCTACAACTCTGCAAGAAGTTTCACAGTTACATTATTCAGCTATTAGCTTACTGCTTGGATGCAACTCATAGGAACTTTAAATGGTCACTGATGCATTAATCGTGCATAGTTGAGGAGTTTGAGGATGTGATATACATATTATTTTTTATTTGAAAACATGTAATTCTTGGAGATTCCTCGGTTTTCTTCTCTAGTTTCATCTCCCTGGCTGAAATATGTTGTATACTTTTCTTTATACATGTTTTATGCAATTTTTCAAATCCAATATCTTTACTTATAACTTTATAAGAAAGAAAAKGCATCATGCATGTCACTCACAACTTTAGCTTCAACACTGTAACTATTACATAATGAAGAAATTATCTTGTTATCCAAAAGTACTACACTATTTACTAAATGGGTAGTATGTGATGTGTACAAAAAAAGATAAAAAGTGCATACTGCACAAAGGTAGGAATACAGACTTGTTCTTAAGGGTTAATCAAAATAAATAGATAAAAGCATTCCCACCCAAGCCCTTCTGACCTTTTCTAAATCCTTTGTTCTTTATTCTCCTGAAACCATCGAACCAACTCAGAAATGTAATTTGGATTTGGTTTCTTCTCTTGGGGAAGAAAGTTTCCATCCAATATATCATACTTCAATACCAACATTATAAGAGAAATTGATTATCTGACTACCATTAAACATCTAACCTCAATCTCTTGAAGAACAAAAGTTGTTATTCAATGCATAATTGTTGGGTAAGAAAACAGTGCGTGAATTGCATAATAGCAGGGGAAGATAACAACTGAAGCATATTTTCTAGAGATAAGGAATCAAAATGAATATGCCATCAGGAAAGAAAAAGTTGACCAAGTCATTCCACAAGATGCATGATGATAATGACTTCCAAGGAAGTTAAGGGAAAACAAAATGATCTACTTTTCTACAGAAGTTCTACCCATTCTCTCATTTGAGAACCTTTCTCCAACTGTATCTGTAGTACGTATTTCTTTTTATGTTTCTAAATTAGTTAAGGAAAAAATGGCAAAAGAAAGATATATGAACTGGAGGAAATGCACGTGTATGTGTAGTTTTACATATGACCAAAATCATACCAAAGTGTAAAGCAAAGATGGTCCTCTCTGAAGCTTTGAGATAAGCATAAACCTGAAATTTTGTTTAAAGTAAACAGCCAAAAAATAATTAATTTTCTCCTGTTGGAGGAAAAGACAAGATGATAACACGCAGAGAAGTGGCACTAATTCCAACAAGATGTATGCTAAGGAATGTCAGAACACAGTCAATTTTGGGAAATGAAGAATTGCAGAAATATGATGTTTTCAAGATGAAATAAGTGCTTATTCAAGAAGCCCAAAATTTGACCTTATTTTTAAGTCTTTATTTCCTTTCTGGCCTGTCTTGGCCTGCCACACCATTTTGAAAATACCTATACTACCCTGTTTGAAATAAGTGCTTCTTCGCTAAATGCTCATGAACGCTTATTAGAATAAGCACTAATTTTTCAAATAAGCACTCCCAAACTATAATCCTTTTTTAATTAAAAACAATTTTTATTAATGCAAAAAATGGAACTTAATCATGCAGAGCAAAAGTTTTCCACAGCATTATCTGCGCATGCTTTGGCAATATTGTTTCCCATTTTTATTTCGACACTCAATATGTACTGGGTTTGCTAGGTAAACATGGTATAATATGCTTTTCAGCATCTTTTATAGTCATTTTGTGTCTTTTATGAACTCATAAACAGTGTTGCATGGACTCTCCTAAATGGATGAAGGGTCTATGTTGGACATACATCAGATTCCAACAGTTAATGGATTTTTGAATGACACTTCTATGTGACATTTTTTCTTTTTCTCCTAGTTTATTCAACATAAATGAACAGATAAAATGCAGATGGATGTTACTTTTCCTATAAAATGTTATTAAGAAAAAAGATGATCCTTTATACCTTTTTCTATAGGTTTATAATGTTAAAATTAAACAAACTAAGGACTACTTATACTTTTCTGTAGACATGTATACGAGTCCTTGATTCTTTGTTTTGCTGAGTCAGACTCAAGGACATGCATCTGAATCTGATTCCTGCGTTATGTGTCCATGCATCTGAATCTGATTTCTTCAAGAGAATATCATCATATATCCAACAATCCATAATCAACAAAAAATTAATTTCCCATTTAACTTATAAAGTATATAGTTATATACTTAAAATGAAAGATTGAGAAGAAATTTTTACCCCCTATGATGTCCAGTTGCTTCATCAATGGTACTCATGGSTTCCCAAAGAAGCGTAAGTGGAGCCCAGTGAGGAGGATACTTAAAGCGGGCAACATCCAAAATAAGTGCCATATCCCTTCCAGCATGATACCCACCAATAGGTGAAAAATGACCAGTTCCTGTCTAAAACCAAATACTAATGAAAGATAATATTATCTGTTGAAGATTAATTAGTTTTATGATGTTTTTCTGAGTAGATGTTTTATGTTAGTTGTTAGATAAGAGGTGGGGACCATAGTAGTTATGTGAGTCCAAATTTTATTATGTTTTTTGAGTGTTATATATGATGTTTTATGTTTTGCCGCCCTATAAGGGCATAGTTGTCTTTGTACTGTTCTATTATTTTAGTATAAATAATAAGTGAAGGGGGCGGCCAGATTATT